AGACCTTAGCTGGATGTAGAAGGCGTAGTGGGCCTGCCATACCAATCGGGCGAGGTTTTCGCCTCCATACATGTTTTTTGTATGTGTAGTTTATACGTGACGTCACACTGCGCTCTTCACAAGGTCAAACTGCTACATTCCAGCCTACATTACACACGCGTACGTATTAGTGTCAGGATTTATGTATTTATACGCAAATGTTCTCTCCAGTCGTGAAGTCGAATTTACCAGTTTGTATGTAAGAATGTTAACGACGTTCGAAGACCCAACCGACGTTTTGTGCGACAGCGTTCACTGGTGGATTAGAGTGTACAGATTGCTCAACGACGATTGTCCTATGTGGCATGCCATGTCACCAATACTAGACAGCTTCTCTGTCATATAAGCAGCCTTTGGCAGTCAGAGCCCAATCAGCGCGTTGCTTCTTTGCAGACTCTTACTTTTCAGGTTAGTTGGACATTTCCAGCGATGCGGTGCAAGGGCAATTGTGGCAGAACGCCACAATTGAAGACCAACAGATGATGCTAATAAGATGAATCATGCTTGCGAGAGGGCACAGCTCCTGTTCGATTATAGTCCTAGGAATTTCGGAAGTGCAATCTCATGAAATTGTCCTTCACGAGAAAAGAGGAAACAGCCTTATGAAAGATATCCACTTGGCCTTATTTTAGTAAGTGATAGTCAGCAAAACGTACGGAAGTATAATGATGAACCTAAATGATAGGAAAGCGAAGGAAAAAATGAAAATGTTTTCAAACTTAGAAATAATGAATAATCTAATGTGATGTGTAACCGAATAGCTTCCAAAGGTCAATATATTACACTTTGTTGACAAAAGTAGGTAGATCTGGGATATTTCCTGGCAACAAGTACAAAAATGCGAGTATGTGAATGGATTAGAATAAGATGTAACTTGAAAACATTAGTATTATGTATTTTTGAAAGTGATGGTAAGATCTCATCAAGTAGTACATTGATGAAACTCAAGAGTGTAAGATGTGATTAGTTACTGAAAAAATCACAATTAGAAATATTCGAAACTATTTTCAAGCATATTATCTAGGCAAAATAATGGTTATGGACTTTCAATTTATAATCTTATATGATTGTTGTTAGAGAAACTACTATTCACTCTAGAACGATAAAAACTAGTATTCTAAAAGAAGCTGTAAAATCAACTAAAAATATATATTTAATTACTTTGCTAGAATTGTTATCATGCCCTGTTAGTTGACAAACTAGTTGATTTGCAAGATAAGTGTATGTGTTTGTTGATTGGCACATGATATACAGATGGATTATCAAATACAGACATTTCGTATCAGACTATAAGTTGTAACAAAGAGTAGAGTTTGAGATGTCACGAAATTGTATAACGCATATTTTGTGCTGACCATTTTGTTTTGTTATGATGAGAATATTGACCATGATATATAAGAAAAGATTTTATATATATATATATATGATTCATCGATGTATATACTAGTCTCCACTTTGTATCAAAATCTAGATGTTAATTATCATAAGCATGAGTACATATGAATATAATGGTGAAAAATCTGGATTGAACTTAATATCATAAATCAAATCATCATAAAATTTATAATTTGGCAAAAAAAACTTGGAAAAAATCGAAAGACCACATCTTTTATCCTTTAATATTCCTTCAATTCATAAGATACAGATCAAGATTAATCAATAGTTATTTATGAACAGCCAAATTAAGTGTTTGACTTGGATAATTTCAATAAGGTTACTGCATGATTATAAGATAATTCTTTTGATACGATAATGACCATGGAAAATAGACTACTGCTGTTTTCATTTATACTTTGCAAGATGCTACATTAGAAAGAAAAATTATAGATCCGATTTTTAAAAAATTCAATGTTTATGATCCCATTTATATCCATTACAATTCTCTATAATCCGTTTGGGTCAGGAGGCTATGTATTTGTGAAAATATTATATGTGCAATTTTGCATCATATCATTTTCCAAGTATTGATAATTATATATATATATCCAAGATTGATGATTGTGCAAGTAGAGTATAAATGTGTGTTGGGTGGATTGCACCACGATATAATCAATATATTGATATATGATTTCTTAATTAGTTATTCGGAGGCAACTTATGAAGTTGAGGTCTCAAATATCTCAAGTAGATGTGGTCAAGAAAGCTAGTGAATAAACTTGAATTTTGAGATGATCATAGTGGGTTTGGATGACTTCAACCTTTTTTATTTACTACGATTAGAATCAAAGTATTATTGTGGAAATCTGAGATTTAAAACGTCAATTTAATTGGTGTGTGACAATTTATGGACACTTTTATTTAACATCACAACGATACATATTGTGATGCATGTATGTTAAGATGGATGAGGACTCCACTCTTTTTTAGGGGTACAGTATAGTGTTTCCAAATTTGCACAATATCATACCTACAATTTATGCGCAAAGGTATGAAATCAAATCTCCCTTACATGCTCCACGAACTTGAGGGTCATGCCACATTTTTAACACTAATTCCTTCAAGTTCATGGATTTGCTCACGGCTTATGAGGTCATGCATGAAAGGAATCTTAAGTGAGTTCTATCCATCTTAAGAAGTGACCCACTGTAGCGAATTACGGATTGGTGACAGACTCAATGCAAGGGCCATACAGACTATGGAGGATACCACGGGATACCATGAGGTACCCCGTGGCCAAAGTAGGTCGACGTTCATGTTGGTGTACGTAATTACGTGAGAAGCTTCCAACAGATCCCCACGTAGACGCTGTCACTACATGTGAACCCTGTACTCATTATTCGTTCGAAAGTAAGATAAACTTTGCAAAGTAGAAGAATGATGTTTCGGTTAACGTGCAAAGCTTGTCGTTTTTAAGACTGCTCGTTAAGTGGTGAAGTTGAGTGCGAGTTCATTTGCCTCAGAAATACGTTATCAATTCATCCATGGACAAAATCATTCGTTCAGAACAAAGCTAGCTCCAATAATCATATTGCACATATGGGGTATAATAACTTTGACAATGTCGAATATTCTACAAATAACATATAGTATATCAAACGGTTGGAATAGTGCTAGACTCAATTATCGGTCTAGAATCAAAATATTTGTATTACTAAGGCAAAACGATTAATTATAGCATGAGATCAGGAAAAATAAATATACATTGATACCTCAACAAATAAATATAGTGATTTTTTTGTCCGTCTTGATTATATGGACCTATAAGTGTCGAACTAAAACCAAGTCGACACCTAGAGCTCTATTTATTATAAGGATAAAGAAACAAATGATGCATCTCAAATCCCCGACTCTTGGTGAACTTGGTTATTACAGCTCCATTCGCTATCAAACCTAATAAAAAATCTATTTTTTGTCACATGTCGCATGAACAACCACCTTATCTAATGCAATAAATCCAATAGGATTACTTTTTTCGTTCACAGCGGATGGTATAACAAATAATGCATTCATTATTGTATAATGGAAATATACATGCATAAGCCAAAGCGGAACCTCATCATTAGAATAAAAAATGAAAGCTAGTCACATATAACCCAGTGCATGTTCAACAAAAAATATATCCACCCTAGAGCCTGGTCAATACAAGATACAAACGCATCCACCCTTGCCAGGTGTGTACAAGCCCAAATGGTGTGATAATTGGCCGAATTTATGTTCAAATTAATCGGGCCATCGAGAATGTAGACCTCTAGTCTAATGGTCGTGGATGGAATCTTGGAACTAATGTACCACAAGGAACTTGAAGCTACGATGTATTATACCAAAATGTTCTTCCTACGGATTCCACACCGAAAAGATCTATCGCTTCACTTCTAACGCTATTCCGAAAGGTGGTGAAAAGTCAAATGCAAGGTCGGAAGTAGATGACTTTTTCAAGCAGGGGTAGCAAAGCGCTGTTCACGCCATAGATGGGATGGTTACGGGGTGTATCCGGTCATACCCAAATGAAGTGGCTAAATGGTTTTGTAGAATAAAATTCTTATTCCTACTTCTCTGGATGTCGATTTGGTTGCATTCAACGACGAAGTAAGATCTCGCATGCTTCAATTCCTTCCTTTTCTCACTGTCCTTTGACCTCATGAGGTTTCTTTGCTGCCTCCGCTTTTTATCATTGGAACTCTCGCTTTTCGCACATATTAAAACGACCGATCCACAAAACCGAAGTCAACATATTGTAATGTTTCTGACATTCTTAATTCGTAGTACGTCTAGATGACTGTCGTATGCGGGGACTCCAAATTCTTCAGAATATGGAGGGAGTCCCCGCATACGGTTTCAGAGAAGGATTCAACCGGCTCGTTCCCAAATCCAGGGACGGGGGCATGGTCAGAGCCCCGAGACCATATGACGAATGTCAAAGTTGCTGAGTTTATACGAATGTGGACAAGTGGGATCGATGGCCGCGTAGACGCTCCGATTCCGTCCCGCAAGCATTTCACGTGTGCAGAGAAGTCGAAACAAAATGGAATGGTTCAAAATGATTAGGCGATGTTTAAATTGGCAACCTCTACTTAAGTGCTAATCACGGAGAGACGCGAACGAAACGTCTGCGATGGAAGGGGGGCAGGCGGTCGGACACCGGGAGGGAGAGCAAAAGCCACGCCAACTCACGATTGCATTCACAGGCGGAATGGCCGGGCACGAAGGCGGCCGGCAACTGGGAAGGGGCCCGGATAAAAAAAGTGGATCTCCTCACATGGGGGCGACACGCGTCCAAGAAAGGACTCACTCCAGTAATTCCACTTCCTCCACACTTAGCGCCACCGACGTCACAACTGGCCACCGTCGTGGCGGGGTGAAATCGTAGTAAACGGGAAGGCGGGCGGGCGGACGGGCGGGCGGGCGGGGGACGGGCAGGTAAAGCCTGGCCTGAAGGCACCGGAACGGCGACGCAGCTGGCCCTCGTTCGCTAGCAGGTGAGATGTGCAATCTGAGAGTGCATGAGACTCATTTCCCCTCGCCCTTTTCTTCCATTGCAGCTCTGAGTTCTGCACTGCACTGCACTGCGCCCTCTGATACATCAGAGGCCAAGGCGAAGGCAAAGCTCAGAGTGTGAGAAACACAAGGCAGGGCAGGACAGGGCAGGGCACCTCGCAGGCTCTCAATACTCCATTTCTTCAAAGTACTCTCTCTCTCTCCCTCCTGCTGCTTCTGCCTGCCTGCCACTCGGCTTCGATCGTCCTGATTTGTGTTTCGATTTGTGCGTCTGATCTCTTGGGTTTGCATTTGACAGATCGGAGAGTGTGTGTGAGAGAGATCTAGGTGAAGGATTCGCCGCATTGGGCGACGCAGTGGGGGTGGGGAGAGGTGTGCTGCTTAGACCTGCTTAGTAGTGGTGAGACGTGTTCAGCGTCTGAGTCGCAGGCCTCAGATCTGGCATGTGCGAAGCGGGGGTAGTGGCAATGTGCTTTCGTTTTCCGTGGTGCTGATTTTTCGTCTTGCATCTGATCCAATCCCTTGCAATTTTCCAGATTGTACACTGCTACGGATTCTGTGCGGCTGAAAGCAGCAGCTGATTTAGTAGTGCTCTGCCGTCTTGCTACGTCTGGTCGCCGCTGACTTGGCCTACGGCCTGAAATTGGAGTAGACGAGTGGACTAGCTTCGCGTTGAAGGTGATAGAGGAGGTTGAGACAGGAGCTTACAATGGGGGAGTCAGTACCAGCAACCTACACTCCCAAGAATATCCTGATTACAGGTGCAGCGGGTTTCATTGCTTCACATGTAGCGAATCGGCTTGTGCGCAACTACCCGGATTACAAAATCGTGGTGCTGGACAAGCTCGATTACTGCTCGAATCTGAAAAATTTGAACCCATCCAAGGCTTCGAAGAACTTCAAGTTCGTGAAGGGTGACATTGGGAGTGCCGATCTGGTGAATTACTTGCTGATCACTGAGGGCATTGACACTATTATGCACTTTGCTGCACAGACGCATGTGGACAATTCATTCGGAAACAGCTTCGAGTTCACCAAGAACAACATCTACGGCACGCACGTGCTCCTGGAAGCGTGCAAGGTCACAGGGGTCATTCGTCGCTTCATCCATGTCAGTACCGACGAAGTGTATGGAGAGACAGAGGCCGACGCCATTGTAGGAAATCACGAGGCGTCGCAATTGTTGCCCACGAATCCCTACTCTGCAACCAAGGCGGGTGCTGAGATGCTCGTCATGGCCTACGGGCGCTCGTACGGGCTTCCATTCATCACCACCCGTGGAAACAATGTCTACGGGCCCAACCAGTTCCCCGAGAAGCTAATTCCCAAGTTCATGCTCTTGGCCATGCAAGGGAAGGTGCTGCCCATCCACGGCGACGGAAACAACGTGAGGAGCTACCTGTACTGCGAGGATGTGGCCGAGGCCTTCGAGTGCGTGCTGCACAAAGGAGAGATTGGTCATGTCTACAACATCGGCACCAAGAAGGAGCGACGCGTGCTGGACGTAGCCAGAGATGTGTGCAATCTGTTCAACATCAATGCCGATGATGTCATCCAGTTCGTTGAGAACAGGCCGTTCAACGATCAGAGATATTTCTTGGACGATGCGAAGCTGAAGGATCTCGGATGGGCCGAGCGAACCTCGTGGGTCGAAGGGCTGAAGAAGACGATGCAGTGGTACATTTCCAACCCCGACTGGTGGGGAGATGTGTCCGGCGCCCTCGTGCCCCACCCGAGAATGCTCCACATGGCCGGAGAAGAGAAGTTCAACTCTCAGGCAGACGAGGAGAAGGTGAAGAGCAATGGCAACGAATCCATCGCTGTCAAGTCCACCTCCACCAGCGGGATGGTCGTTCCTCCCACGAAGGTCGCAGCCGCAGCCAAGCCCACGTACAAGTTCTTGATCTACGGTCGCACCGGATGGATTGGAGGACTTCTCGGTGACATCTGCAACAAGCAGGGCATTGAGTTCGTCTACGGAAACGGTCGCCTCGAGAACAGAGCGGATTTGGAGGCCGACATCGCCAATGCCAAGCCTACTCATGTTTTCAATGCTGCAGGTGTCACAGGACGGCCTAATGTGGATTGGTGTGAGAGCCACAAGACCGAGACCATCAAAGCTAACGTAGTTGGTACCTTGACATTAGCTGATGTTACCCGGCAGCACGGTCTGTTGCTGGTGAACTTCGCAACAGGATGCATTTTCGAGTACGACGAAGGCCACCCACTTGCAAGCGGTATTGGATTCAAGGAGGAAGACACCCCTAACTTCACTGGCTCATTCTACTCCAAGACCAAAGCCATGGTACTTCCATCTCCTCTCATCTCTGCTCTGATCTACTGCTGATTGCGAGCTTGTGTTGAATTCCAACTCTGAAAATCTGCCCTTGTTCCCCGGGAGATGCAGTCGTCTCTATTGGCCCGTGTACAGGTCCATCGAGCTAATATTTTGAGCTGTGGTATGTGGAACTCACCAGGTTGAAGAGCTTTTGAAGAATTACGAGAATGTGTGCACGCTTCGAGTACGGATGCCCATCACCTCGGACTTGAAGAACGCCCGCAACTTCATCACCAAGATCACGCGCTACGAGAAGGTTGTGAACATTCCCAACAGTATGACGGTTCTCGACGAGCTTCTACCCATCTCGATCGAAATGGCCAAGAGGAATTTGAAGGGAATCTGGAACTTCACCAACCCAGGAGTTGTGAGCCACAATGAAATCCTCGAGATGTACAAGGAATACATCGACCCGTCTTTCAAGTACTCTAACTTTACTCTCGAGGAGCAGGCTAAGGTGATCATTGCGCCAAGGAGTAACAACGAATTGGATGCCACGAAACTTTCTACGGAGTTTCCGGAAATGCTCTCCATCAAGGATTCCTTGATCAAGTTTGTATTTGAGCCCAACAGGCAGACCCCCCTTAGAAATTGAGCAGCTCCATGAGAATTGTTAGTCCTCCAGTTTTTGTTTGGATGCCAAGTATTAGTTAAAGCTCTTGCGTCATCAAACAAATAATTTTTTTAACCTTCTGTCGAATACCTTCATACATAAAGTCGTCCACATTCTTTTGCTGGGTAATTACGCCAGCAAGCAAATTTTGGTATCCAGGGTGTAACACGTTCTGTCCAATTTTTGGAGTACTTTTTTGTCTCTGCGCATCCCTCAGATGTATGCTGTTTGGATTTTAGCTGTTCGCATCGCTTCACGATGCTTGATTTTCAACTTTTATCGACTCAGCTTGACTCTGGACTACGAGGAGTACGGTACTGTGGCAGTGATCATCGTCCTCGGTCTGCAATATTGGACAACATTCCCAAACAACTGTGGAAACTCGAAGGTGGTCGGTTTTTGTAGAATGTATTTCGGTCCCGCACAGGTCTCTCAGGAGGAGAATCCGAGCTGCCACTGGATCTCACTTCCAATCGGATTTTTGCTTGCGATCTGCATTCATGACTGTCTGATGTGGAACGACTCCAGACCAGATTAGCACTCCGTACTAAGTTCCGTACTAAGTAAGTTCGCAGATTGACTATTGCAAGTAATTTCCTGTACGGACTGTGGAGACTGTAAGGCAGCGTATACCAAGCCCATTTTCATACATGTATAACAAAACGTGTCAGGGCTCAGTCTCTGCTCGGGAGTCGTGCTCACCTTCGCTTACTCGACTTGAGAGCGGTAGCGTGATCATCAGCCAAGTAAGCTCGTGAGCAGTACACGGGCCAGATAATTGGAGTAGTGAAGACAGGTGATGGATCATCAGGATGGGCTTGGATGAAGGAGATTTAGCACCAACGTACATCTCCAGGAATCAATCCCCTGGGACGTTAGTGCTGGCTAGACTAGTCTCTAAGGTTCAAACTCAGGGAACCAGCTCTTGCTGTAAGGCACGTACATGGACAGCCCCTCCCGTACGATGAATTCCAGTGCTGTCGTTGATTCGTCATCGCGGGCCTGACCAATCATATGAGCTCGGAATGGTCCATGAGTCCGCGTCCTGGCTCGAGGCACATACGTGTACGTCGTCTCCAGTACGCTGTACTAGATGTATTCATTCGTTCGTATTTTTATGCGCTTCTCGAGCCAGTCAGAGCTCGACGGTGCTTCACATCCTTCACTGATAAGCCACCTGATACGGTGCCCACCTACAATTCGTCTTCTCCCGGACAGGTTGGTGAGATCGGAGACAGCACATCACCTTAGCAAGACTTTGCGTCTTGCTCGGCAAGATCATTTGGTGTCCACCTCGGCCGCTACCCCAGTGGACGACTCGTCGAATACAGAACTCAGTCTGAGATAACGTTCCATGGCCTTGCCATGCAACCGTTTCTGATTGTTTAGATCTGGGTTTCTCTATAAGGCATCCGAAACGATGAATCACGAGTGGTTCTCGAAATCAGTAGTCAGACAGTTGTTCGAACATTAGAAACGTGAACTTCCTCTGCAATTTTCTCGATTTTTCCACTTGGCTTCGTAAACACTGTTGCGGACCCTACGTTAGGTCACCTCAGCGCGACTCTTACAGATCCTTCTAACCGGATGCAGTGGAAGTTGTCTCCGATTTCCAAAAGAACGAGCTTCTGGTGACGCACATAAGCCGACTGGGCAGAGTATGTGCTCAACGTAGCAATTGACCTGTATTTAATAAGGAATATGAAATTGCTCCGGTCTCTTGCTCAATCAAAGTCTCCTACTTATGGCGAGGTCCTTGTTGAAAATTGGTCCATCTCTCTGATGCCCCAGTTCATCATTTAGGAACAGTGTTATTAAGGAATCTGGACTGAATGATTACGAGAAGACTCTATCCTGCTTGTATGGTACATCTATCCAAGCTCCTGATAATGTCGACCTGCGGTGCACTGTTATTGTCTTGTCTCCTTCACTCGGAGACTTCGTTCAAAGCGTTGTGCATGGTCGTTCTATGGCTCCGATACTCGTCAAGGTCAAGTACTTTGGACAGTCTTCGCTACGTTCTCATTCGAAGTACGTTTCAGAAGATTGGATTTTGATTGGACGCTTAGCCCGTGAGTTCGGCAATCACGCCTGGGATAGAAATCAAAAAGTATTCGTGGAAATGAACAAATTCAACTCTGCATCGCAGCCTACCTTGACTTGCCTATGTGGTCTTCTTGTCCGACTTCAATCGTGAGCTCTGCACCTACCTCGGTCCTGAATGATGTACATTTCTCTGCAACTTTACCGAGGACCTGGTCGGTACAGACTTCATACGGAACTTATTCTCAATAACAGATGGATCGTAAGATATCATGGATGATAGAGGAGTGCACGCTCTGAGGGTACATGTTAGATCAGAACAAGCTGCCTGAGTGACCTAGCTTTGAATGTAAACATCAAGAGAGGAGATTGACCTCGCTGAACACTACAAACTTCTTCATTTCAACAACCAAATTTGAGCCTGTTAATGGAAGGTATCCCTTAACTGGCTTCAAACAATGTCATTTATTGGATCGAACTTGATATTAATATCAGGTCATCTTCATTGAAGAATCAAGAGGATGTGTGTTCGTTCGGATTCCATCACAATATTTTTTATAGCTCTTATCGTCTATGACAGAGAGAAGTTATCTTCGTGGGTTTTTCTTCTTCTCTCCTGTTGCGAGGTCTCGAAGTAGGGCTTTCTTGAGTTCTGTAAAGCAGCTGTCTTCGGTAGCACTTGGAGACACCGAGGTATTTGTCCTGAAAACTACGTGAAATTCAAAGCAATTTAGAATAGCCCCAAAATCTTAATGACAATGTGTGGACAGATTATATAGCCTTTCTCACCATGCCACACTTCTGTGGAGATCAAAATATCGTTAATCATCCGGCAGGGATGAATTTCCCGGCTTCCCTTGATCCTCATCGTCAGCGATTCAGATGCCTCCAGTCTCTAACTTTGTCCAGATTGGAATTGAGAACTTCATCATTCAAGAGGTCGCCACTTGTTGATAGAATTTCATCTACAGCATACATCGATTCTGTCGAAGAAGAGCACATCTCTTCCTCAATGCACCTCGTTGTGTGGTGTTTCACAAAGTAGTAAGGTTCGTGCCATTCCAATTCAGTAAAATGAGTTACTGAATTCTAGTATATTGATCGAACGATCAATATAACGCCAATCTCGTTTCGGACTGTACCTGTCTCTAATGTCTCTATTTCCCTTGCACTTCATAATCATCTGAATTCATATTCGTGCTTTATGCCACGAATGTACCTTTGCTTCAATGATGAAGATTTGTGATGAGATGATATGTTCACAGCCCAGTTACTAAAACATTGAGTACACAACAAGCTAGAAGATGGTTTCATGTTGTCAACTTATCATACGCTCTTTTCTCTTCGCGGAAGTCCAGGTAGCAAGTCTTACTACAGTTCTCACAGCAAAGTCGAAAATCAAGACGACCTCACGGATCTGAGCTGAAGGTAGAAGAAAGTCAGTGCGGCGGTTTCATTTCACTATGGACTTCGATGTTTGTTTGATACTTGGGCGAAAGTTTTGTGTGGAAACCTTCGCTCTTCAGTCGTCATGAGAGACAAACTGGGTTACTATGATTCCAACGTCATGAGTTGCATAAATTGAAGCATCGTCATGCTATGGTATTTCGTTGCTGTAGAAAGATCTGGTTTCTCTCGCCTCACGTATCTGGCGAAGCTTTTGATATTTTGAAATGGAAATCAAGTTCTCATCAAAGCTTATTAGGAAGTGTTCGCGTCACGAACTTTGACTTTCAGCAGATCAATTTCATATCTCTTGTCAAGGCCTAACAAGGATCGCCTTCATTTATTATCTATCTTGCAAAGCAATGTACGTGGCTTCCTCTCTTCCAATATAAATGTTGAAAGTTTCACCCCTACATCAAAATCTCTTGTTAGAGATATTGTCTAGTCGTTAAATATGCACGAGTCATTCTAACTACTGTTGACTATCATAAATATTTTTTGGAGTATTGAACGGTTTTACAATGATAAAATGAGATGATGAAAAGCTTGTCAGGTTTACATACGTATGAAATATTTCAATGAATAAGGATTCATATAATAAGAAACCAAGAATCTACTTCGATCTATACAATCTGGATTGATAAAAAATTTTAAATCACAATTAGAATTTGCCCATACGCTTATAATTGCATAGATTATACACTAATTTGAAATAAACAATAAAAATTGATTAAAAAAGTTTTATCTTGAAATTTAATTTTCTGATATTTAGAATTAATCTAAAAGAAGTAAATATTCATGTATATTTTCAAAATGTAATGTTTTTTATATTCAATTAATGGTGATTATACATAACTAGAAACAATTATTTGATCAACTCATGTTATTCTAAGTAAAAACCTCTGAATATAATATGATATAATGATATATTATATATAAAAAATAATATATTTTTTAATATATTGTAAATATTTCAACCGGACCAAAAATAAACATAAAATTTAGATGATCTCTTAATTCTAAGTATATAATGCTAAAAGCTTAATATCAAGGATATTATGAAAAAAAAATTAGGATAAAAATTATTATATTTTAAAATTTTTGGAATTATATTTAAATCCTATATTTGGAAAAATAAAAAATCCTACATTTGGGTTCACATTTTAAGAATATTTTTTTAAAAAAATTGTTAAAATCTTTAATTTTTATTTTGGATATTTTTACTATTAAATTCTATACTCCATGATATCTAATCTAAATTTTGATTTTGAATCTAATGTTTTCATCTAATTAAAATTTTTTTATGAAAAATATCAGTTCTTTTGATTAAGTATAATTGATTACAGAATAAATTTCAAGTGTTAAAATTTGCCATCTTAACACAGTAGCTCATCACATCACATTTGAAATTCCAAACATAGAACAACATATAATTTTTCCTCATCTTCTGTTTCAATAAATAGTAAGAACTAAAAATTTGAAAAATTTCTAATCTATTGGCAAGATAAAATATTCAATACAAGATTAATTATATGTATACTTGAAAGTTATTGTAATTTCAAAGTGATGTATTTTATATTTATTTCATATCAATAAATATATTTTTAAATCATAACATTTAGCACAACATGAAAGTATTTTAGTTGATATTATTGATTACATCAAGGTAATATTCATTATAATGCCAAAATTGACATATTTTTGAAGCACATATCTTAAAAATTCATTGAAATAAATATTATTAATTCATATTCCATAAAATATGAATAAAATGCAATTATTTTTATAATTCTTTACTTAAAAAAGATTTGTCAAATACTTTGAAATATTACAATCAATCATAATTAAAATTAGTACCAAATTTTATTTTACTTTAAATTGTGAAAAATTTCAAAAAATTAAATAAATAATCAATAAAATATCACAAATTATGATTGTATACATATGAATAAATAATGAAAGATTCATTATCAATTAAGATTCAAAATTTACATATGGAAAAGTTATTTTAAGATGGGAAAATATAGTCATTTTGATTCATATAAAGATATAATTTGGCTATAAATGTTTAAATTTTAGTTTTTATACCTTGAGATATTGCTAAATCAGCTTGATTGATTTGGTTTTTGACTAAATGACTAATGTGATAATTATTATTTTCATCTTATTAGACAATGATGCAAAATATAGTATCATGTAATTGAAATTTGTAGACCAATATCGTTATTAAAATTTATCTGCTTATGAATTGCATGTCTAAAATTTTGATAATTATACATTATGAATATTAAGATACTAAGACAATATATGTAAATTATATAATTTGGATTTCAATATCTTGAAAAATTTCTACATTTCACTGCAATTTTATGTATAATGTGAATAATTAAATTAATTATCGGTCTTTTAAATGTTTTTCAAAATCTCAATTATTCTCGATTTTGCATACATCTTGTAAAATATACTTCACATTATATTTTTAAGAATCAAGAAATTTTTATTGTTAATAATGTAATATGAATTATAATACATTGCAAGATCAAGATTGAACTTAAATTCACTAGATTTGAAATCTATAAACTAAATTAGCTTAACTATATAAGAGTCAATTTCATTTTTAGATAGGAATTTTACAAATGATATTATTATTCATGAAATTAACAATTCAAACTAATTATATATACACATACATACTATCTACAACAAATGCAATTGGTATTACATCCCAAAACGATATAATATGAAATTAAATAATTTTTTATTACATTTTGATTTGAAAATTTACCCAGAAAAATTTTAATATCATAAAAATTATTTTTAAATGATACACCTTGAAATCAATAGTCGTATAAACAAGAAATTTTATACAGAGTAATATAAAACTGATATATATATATATATATATATATATAACTAACTAACTTTAGCTGTGGCTTGCGAAGGAAGTGGAGTTGGATGAATTTTATCATTGGCATACCAGCTATTTGAGAGACAATTATTTAGTTTGAAGATTTTGCACGTGGTGTGTAGTAGGTAGCATATAAACTAAAAAATGTATTCTTGATAAAATTTTAACTGAATTGTCCCTTTATAATTTTTGGTATGTGTAAAATATTTGTGTGATATTAGTATGCTTCATGTGATAAATGTGTCAATGTGAGAGGCATACGATTTTGGACTTCTTACCTGACAAGCTAATAATTACACCTTTTTTCGACAAGAAAAGTTAGTACTGGTAAAAGAAGTCCTTTCTAGTACTTGGAACCAACAAGCGAACTTGATGTAAACCCTGGAATATTATGAGCAACTCCACATCAGTGCAATTTGATTTGTATCGTGATAGCTTAGATCAATTATGCCGAAAAAGCGTATGCACATTGTATACACAAAATGGACTCTCTAGGCATTCGATCATTATAAAGCGATCAGAGAGTCAGACTTTTTCGGAAAAATGTAGATATCTAGAAAGACGGCACACTTTCCAATAACTGCGGGAATAACCGCCTCTCTGGACATCGGAAGACGGACTGAACTTCACATGCAGGTTCTAGAGTCAATACGTTATCATGTGTGGCGCCCCTCATATGAGTATTTTGATATGAAGACTAAAGGGCGAAAAGTACTATTTCTGGTAATAAAATAAGAAAAACCTACAGGCTATATATTGAAAAATTCATATGTCGATTTGAAAATATGTTTTTTAAAAATATCTTTTACGTGGACCCACATTTTTATTGCCATGGTTCTTATCCCTGCGCACCGATTCCGAAAAACCTCCCATGGAATTGGGCTTTTGTATCGGGCCAAGGACTAGCAGTATCAAAGAATACAGCCTAGTACTAACGTTTTACATTTCATTTTCAAACATCAATAAACTGAAGCTACGGTATTCACAGTTGCACCATGTAGCAGTAAGCCTGTTCATTGATTTTTGTAAAGAAACCAAAAAATATGTCAAACCTTTCAACAATTTCCACGTGATCGCTATCATATAACAAGCTTCATTTGCCTATGAACACAGTTTGAGAAAATGTTTCTATGTTTTGAATAATACACCTTCTCATCTCTGCTTTATCACTTCAAAACAATTCTTTTGAAGCGATAAAGCTTACATCAATTTTACAAAATTAAATTTCATATCTGTGTGGATGCAAATGAAGTGGTTGACACGAATTTAAGATACGATCAACCAAATTGAGAACCATAGAATTCATTCGTCTACAAAGTCAGGAAGAAATCCGACTATGGCCGAAATTACGGCAGAATGTAATCCCATCAAAAATTCCAATATATTGATAAAGATAGGAACTGTGATGTATTGATATCATATGTCTGTTCTAGCAATCAAGCATAAATATACTTCAAGAACAGATATTCCTCCAACTAAATTATACTATCATAATGCAATTTTCCAATATGTTCATCTTCTGAAAATTTAGTGCTTGCAGGTAGTGTCTTACACAACAATATTACGTCCAGACAAAACAGAATGTCAGAACCTTATGAAAGGCGTACGTTTATTTTACTCAACTTATATACTATTCATATGAACGCTTACCACACTTGATAGTAAAATCTCAATGCTATTAATTAATTTTTCATCAAAAAGATGTTGAGATATTATAGGTTTTTCCTTCTTCAAAATGTGAGATTCTAGTAGGGTTTAGGATGTAGCTCATGGCCGTGTCAGGGACACGAACATCCCGCAAAATCCAAACGGACGATACCATTTGGAGCAAAATCTTATCACTTGAACAAACTTGGTCTGCATCTGAAGAGGACGACTTTTCACTGAAATGAGTCTTTTAGGCTTTTCAGTGTCTTGCGACTAGGTTTCTGAGAAATATACCAACATCTTTAGTAAAATGTACTGCTGAACACTAGAAATTAGTGGGCTGATTAAGGAGCACTTTGTTCCGTCATGTGAAACAACTGATATCATCAATCATGAGCCCGTTCTTCATGTTTTTGCAGCTTTGTGTCATGTTCTTGCAAACAATATGACATAAGGATTTTTTATAATCTCGAGAAGCACCTCCAGAATATGTCATCGTATCGAAAATTTTACTGCACATGTCAGAATACGGTAGAAAACTCAGAATCATTACAAGGTGAGAATCTGTTATGAACAGGACTGTAGGACAACGAGAATGGAAGGAAGGCATGACTGGAATACCAAAAGTCAGCAGGTAGCAGCTCCACTTTGCGGTTGTTGATGGGTTTAGCCTTGAGGGCTAAGGAAAGAGTAACAGAGGGGATAGAACTGTTGAGTTTATCTCCTTGGAAGAATCATTTCAAGTTGTATTCCAGCATTTATGATGCAAACTGTGAGAGGTAGTCTTTGAAACTTACCACTGAACGAAGTCACCGAACAAGCTCAGTTGACTTTCCCATTTAACTGGTCGCCTGCGCCACCTGTGCTCACCGGATTGATCCGAAATGTTCCTCGGGCTTCTGTTGCGAGACAGAGGTTGGACTGTTTCAGATCTCCGGTCTAGCGGAAATGGCATACACCGTCGATGACGACAGAATCCAAGATGACGTGCAGTGACAGCATTTACAGCAGTTTTTATACATGGAAAAAACAGCTCAGCAACACTCCTAGAGCTCATACTTTTGTTCGCCTCGATCATCGCTTGACTGCGAGAATTCCTGTATGCATTAATTTGCAATCCAGTGGCAATTCTGCGCCGATCCGAAGGTTTCAGAGGTCAGGAAAATACGAGGTTCATATTCCTACAGATTAACCACTTTAATTTTACGTAGAATCCCTCCTTCCTTATTAAATAGAAGAGTATTAATCTGAATTGGCCATCAAAGTCGTTAAGCGAAGGTTGGCGTCTGCTGGACGATTGAGCCCGGTCTTAGTGGCCTGGGCTCTTCTGGTTCTCTCGAATGACAAGGATTTGGGCGTGAAATGTAAGGATGTGCATCCAGATGCGAGCTATTCTTAGGTCAGGGATCTGAAGATTTTGAATTATAAAACAGGGGTGTCGGACCAGTGGAGTTAGGCCAATGGGGAGGGTGTGTGGAATCTGTTGACCAAGGAAGTGACAAACGTCGTCCAGGCCCACGCACCTCCTTCTCTCTTCGCCTGCTCCGCATTCATCTGTGACACCGATGCTCATGATTATGCCGCAACTCAACGAGGAAAAGGAGCCCTTTGTGACCGGATGACTGACGGACGACTACGTTTGCACTTTCGTTTTCAACTCGTTTCCGGGCTGCTCTCTAGACGCACGCGGGCAGCGAGCTGTAGAGTGGCAGCGCTGCTGATTGATCGTGGATTCAGATTCAGAAGTCAAGGGCCAAAGCAGCTCAGCGAATAATCGAGCATGATGGGGGTGGCGCGGCAGATGATCGTGTACTTGAATTATACGTGAAGAAGAAGGGAAGTTGAAGCCAGTTGCAGAAGCTGTTGCGAGTTTCCAGAGGAGAGCACACGAACACAGCGCAAGGGCAGTACCAGCAGCAGCAGTAGACGAAGGAGAAGCGGATTTTTTTTCATTGCCCTCTCCAGCTCTGTCTCCCCCCGTGCCAGCAGGTAGAATTCGAATTTCTCAACTGGCCTCCGTCGTTTGTCGATTAGCCTGCGGCCAATTATCTTTCAACTTTTTGTGTGTGGTGTCGGAGATTTTTCTGTTTCCTTTCGAGGCTTTGCCAATATCTGAGCCGACCCTTCAGACCCAGCTTTGGCTTGACTGGATAGAATTTTACTTGTGTGGGGATGTTTCTCGTACTCCTTACTCCACATGCACAGCACCAAAGCCAGATTCAGACAGGTACACTGACATACTTCTGCAGTGAATTGCTCGGGGCTCGAACTGACTGCAGTGGTGGTTCTGAGATGTTGGATTTTTCTCGATTGATTAGAAACCAAATGTTAGGAACTCTTCACGAAGAACGAAGCGTCTCGAGTTGCACAGTGTTCGAGGGACGTTTTGGACAGACATTTGCTTCTCTGTGTCAGTTTCATGGACAATCACAATCGAATGTCGTGACAAGACTCGTGAATCAAAGTTTCGAAGATGTATGTATCCACAAGTTTTAGCCATCAACTATAATTTACCTTGCACCGCGGTGTTGGAACAACAATCTCTCTATGATCGGTGTCTAGCAAACGAAGATCAAGTCGCATCGATGTCTGTGCTTTGAGATCTGTCTGGTTCAGTCTGCGTGCGCTTGCCCCATAAATAGGATTTGTTCAATGCACGCAATTTCATGTATCCATGACTCGTCGGTACCTCCCAGTTTTGAATGCTGTGTGTGATTTGCCATCGTTCTGCTTTGTGGCTATAACATCTCGCCGACTACGCATCCAGATCGTATTTCGTAATTCGCCTTGATCCTCTATACAGTTATACAATTCGTAGAATTTTCAGATTTTAATTTCTTGAGCTGAACCATGACTGAGAACGGAGGAATTCTTTTCTGAAAAAAGGATTCTTCATTTTTTTTTGGGTGCTCTTTTTGTAACTTCTTCCCAGGCTCACTCAGCGTACATTGCAGAAGCAATTCCCTTCGTGCGTCCACAGCCCTCGTTGTTGGCATCGGCAATTTGATTATGTGATAGTGAAATAAACTCGTGGTACCTAGCCATGTGTCGCTCAAGCGAGATTGACTGATACCGGAGGTACTCGCTACTCAAATTTGCCCGGAAGTCATTTCTCCTCCTTTACGCCACCCGTATCGTGATTACTCCATGTAAGGATTGCATGCAAGTGCTTTTGACCACCTACTGACTACCTATGAACCCCAATCTCACCACGAGAGGCGCGCACTCTGCTGCGCTTTCGTCGTTACTTTGACGGAGTTGTTGAAGAGGATATGCCCTAAGTCACCACTGTGCAATTTAGTCCAAGGGATTCGGAAAACTCCTTTGGGATGACGTGTTTGTCAGAGTAGCAATCATTGAAACGTCATAAATGCCCAGGAGATTTATAAGTTACAGGAATCTACTGCTTTTAGATGGATATGATGATGATTTCTGGAGCATTTCTGATTCTCCTCGGTTTATTCTGTTGAGTTCAGATACTAATAGTTGAGGTACCTTCATTCTCAAACTGAATGCGAGGCAGAATGTGGCATTGACCAACTTTATGTTCCTGCGTGCACATCCAGAATCTTTCAAGATGAGGCAGGCAGTTCCCTTCCACTCACAAATGGAGGCATATTTCGGAGCCTACTCGTCCCCGGCTGAACCACTTCTGTGGTTGGGTGCTGCAGTACTGGGTGCCACTGCTTGTAAAATTGTAAGCTAGCCTCGACTCAAAGGATGAAACCGAACTGACTTCGCACAGTGGGAGTTATCTTATAATTTGGAGATTTGACATAGTTTGAGATGAAAAACCGCACTTGCACACATTCAATTGACGTTAACTTGGTGACAGGTGTATGATATTATGACTCTGGCGAGCCCTATGTTTTTCCAAAGCTATCGAGGTCTATCGAAAGAGAAACAGGTGGAGTGGGACAACAGGTGAGCCATACGTAGCTCTCAGCTCACCGCCACTGACTTCTGCTTACCAATATTGCCAAGTATTGCAAGATCCCCAATAACTCTTAGGAACAAAGATTTTTGAAGTTAAAGTTTGCGACAATTAAGCCCAAATACGGAGTGCACCCACTTCAGTGCTGCTCAGTCAAACCGACCACAAAATACTTAACCTCGACCACCCATAAAATTATCAGGAGCGAAAACCGCTTGCTTAGGTGGAGAATGCCCGATGCTTGAGAGACCCTTTGTGCGTCAAGTCACTGACGTTTTAACTGGTGCAGGGGATTCTCGACGGCACACGCCTTTTTCTGTACAGTGGCTGCCGGCTACCTTCTTTACATAAGCGACGTATTTTATGATAGTGCTCCGTACGGCCCCATTCCTTTTCGCAGTACAATATTTTCTTTCTTCACCATTGCTGTAAGAAAATCTCCGTTCCCTCTTTGTTCTCCAAATTTTCGATTCTAGCAGTGGCCGTGAAATTCGATTGTTACTGCTTCCGATATCCATATCTGATTGCATGCTTACCAAAGTAGGAATTGATATTGACCTACTTAAGGCAGGGCAGAGCTGAACCATCACATCTCGTAGTAGCAGTGGAAGCCCTGATTACATCTGATTTACCTGCGATGTACTGGGGAAATTTCTTATGTTGGGGTTATCTGTCAGATTCTAGGTCATGGGTTTGATCATTTTGGCCATGTTTTTTGGGTCGCTAGACTGGGGTTTAGTTTCGTGTAATCTGTTATTCATGTTTTGTTTCACGTCGTTCGGCGATGATGTCAGTTTTCAACTGGATACTTCTTTGCGGACTTGGCCATGATACTTTGGACATATCCAAGTTTGGGAGGACCAGAGTATGTAAGCCCCTAGTGCTACTTCTTCTCTTTTCCTGCAATTGTTTTGGTCGAATGCTTGGTTTTAGTTTTTCCCTTGTGATTCGACAAAGCTTGCCGACCCCACGTCAGGGTTCAGTTTTTAAGAAATGATTTAATAGTAATTTGCGTGAAGCAGAGATTTCCCGACCAGTTTTGAAGACGTTGGGTTGCTGTGTTCTAGGTGGTGCACCATTTACTGTCGATCGGCTCACTCATTTTAGCGAATTATACTGCACATGCTCACTATTATATACTTATGGTTCTCTTCTCCGAGGTTTCCACACCGTTTATCAACTTGAGATGGTATGCGATTAATGCAGAACTTCTTTCTTATTATTCGATTACTAGCAATTTTTCTGATGATCAGGCTGTTCATTTGATATTCCATGGGAAGTTAGCAGACACGCAAGGTTGCTCTTTTCTTCAGAGAAGCTTTCCGCATCATCTCTGCGAACAGAATCTTTGGTCCTTTGCTTCCAGGTTTTGAAAAAATAGTTTCTGGCAGCCTAGTAGGATGACATGAATGACTAAAGGATCGTGTGTATCGACATGACAGGTATTTATTGACATGTGGGCTAAAAAATTCAAAGGCCTTCGTATACAACGGCATGGCCCTGCTTGTGGTTTGGCTGGTAAGCTGGAAACACCTTTGAGTACTTTTACTTCCAGCACCATTTTCTTTAGCTCAAGTGCCTCATCTTCTAAGCCCCTTGTCTTATCCATTAACGTTTAAAATAGCTCACTCTATGTTTCAATGGTCTTCCCACGTGAGTTGTAGGTTTTAGTCACTGACGCAGTCAAGTTGTACAAATAACGAATATGGTGCTTTACTGGAATATGGTGCTTGCTACACTAGCTCTTGTAACCTTATGATTAGTATGAGATCACACTTCAAGCCACCACCGTGATTACTGTGTTCTACAAAACAATCAAGAATTTCAGAAATTTTTTCTTTAGTTGTTGTGTATGTCTAGCAGTGCAGAATTAATCATGTCGCAGACCTTGACTTTCAGGATTGAACTGGATTTTTGTTACCGGATGATCGTGACCCCTATAAATTGATTCCACCCTTGAAACATCAGGAGTCTGGAGTCTAACTTATCAGGTTGCATTTTGTGCAGTTTGCTCGAGTAATCCTGTTCATTTACTTCTTCTACCACGTCTACACACAGTTTGACCAGGTGTGCCCGTCAGACTCTATCTTGACTCCTTTAAACTTTCAGGATGCTGTGGACGTTGTATATATCTTGCCAGGTGTTTATTTATGGTTGTTTGTTATCGTATATCCGAAACCCTGCTCGAGGTATTCTACGTGTACGTGGGTTCTTTTCGACTTATTTCTATAATATTCTCATACATGGAATTGAATTGGTACAGATTAGCCAGCTATATCTTCCTGGTTTCTACTTCATGTTCACGGCACCACCAACCCTTGCCTTGATGAACCTCTACTGGTTCTACAAAATTGTTGCGGGCGCACTCCGAGTTTTAGCCAAGAAGAAAGACTAGGAAACATCCAGAGAAGTTTTGCTTAGTATATTAATCATAGGATGTTTGGCAGTGATTGTCCGCGAGTCTTTGTTGTACTTTACGGTGCAGTGCATACATCCTGCCTGTAAGAGCATTTTAGGTGTAGTGGAAGTCAGTGGTATTGGTACGACGATGAGGAAATTGTGAATACTCACCATCAAAAAGCCGAATCGGGATAGACATAAATAAACTAGCTCTTCTCGTCACTCTCATTCTGTCACTGGGCAGATCGGAATATCTTACGAACTACAATGACATACATCTCGGAGATCGAAGAGTTCTACATTTCGAGGCATATGGATAGAAATCTGTCATTAATAAAAAGGATCAAAGGGACCGCTGTATCTGAGTTGCGTATTCTATTCCCACTGTAGTTGCCACTTTCAGCCTTTTCAGGGTCCTTGTTTTGCTTCAAATTCGTCATGAGCGTCGTGTGGATATGGTTTTTCGTAGGCTGTTTCACTGTTGTTGGTAATAACAACGTTTGTTGGTGATTGCAGCAGTGGATTGGAAACAATCGTTTTGAAGAAGAAAATCTAGTGTTTCCTATCCACTATTAGAGATTTTGATTCTGTATCGCTGTTGTTGGATACAAGTTTTTGCTTTTCATCAGGGAGTCTCCTGTTTTATCGCACAAAGTTCGCCTGACACTATCACTTCTGCTGAGGAGAAATCTGATTTACAGCAAGGATGGGTTCTTTTGTACAAGATGCGGAAAATGATTTCAAGTCACTTTGATTCTCTGTTCGTGTACCCTTGTTTCGTGGTTTCTAGGGTCTTTACCTCCATCCTGAAAACTAGCCCTGCAGATTTAGATCCAATTTAGATTCGGTGCATGTGATCCTGAGCTTTGAGATCACAACACTGGTAAGAAAGATAGCACAGAACCCTTCAAGCACCTTCCTCTGGGTCATGTGTACCATTCAAGCTCTCCAATGCTAATGGCTTCGTATATCTCTGATATGTGTGATATTGAATATGCCCTTCGCGGCCTACTCGACTGGCCAGTTCAACAACATAGTTTACTTAGTGATTAAGTAGTATTGAAATAAGTTGTCAAATTTTCTGACTTGTTGTTTAGCCCATCAGATGTACAAGTGCTGTGCATGCGTTTTGAGGTTTTGGGTCATCTATTCCCGCAAAGGTTAGGTAGAATATTTTCTTCTAGTACTGCAGCCTCTGCCTTGTTCAATGCACCCATACAACGGGGTCAGTCCTGCCTTAGGCTCTACAATGACGTGCTTCTTCAACGGTAATCTAGATGGAACCTTGTGTAACAAATAGTTGTGTTTAGTACGTCTAATCAATTACCTGCGGGAGAGAACGTTCACCAAGTTATCAATCTTTATCAATAGCATTGGCTGTAAACGTGAATCGGTAGAAGAAAGCAGTAGATGAATGCTTGAACCCTAAACCCGCGACGCAGATCCTAGGCATACTGATGAACAACTCCAGTGAAAGCGCAAAGCGCAATGCAAAAGGCAGATGCAATTCGCAAAGCTTGTTGTGAGGTTCAGATTTGTAATGGTGTTTAGTGGGCAAGTTTTCACATCTTAGATTCATTGTACTCTAGTTACACTGACTTTATATGAACTCGCAAGACTTTGTAACCAGCTTGTAATAGCTTTTTTTGTGATCCAGTCGCGATTAGGTTCTCCTTATACTGCAAAAATATTTACAGTCAGATTCATTCACTTAATGTACACGTCAAATCTGATTTGACTTGATCAGTTTAGCAGACTTAACAATATTCTGCTGTGTAGGCTGCTCTGGTATTTGCAACCCTTTTAGCTGAAAGCGTCTTCGACCTGTAGTATATGACCATTATTATTACTGATGCAACACGGCACAGACCTTGTGAAGTAACTCATATATGATAGCCTTGGATTGGAGACTTGGAGCTGAGCAGATGAAGACAGATTCATTGCAATATCGACGATTGTTTACAAGATAGACGCACCAACTTGTATGTTATCAGCGAACAAGGTAACCTAATCATTCTTAATGCTCTATCCCCGAGTCAGCAGATCACCAATTGTTTTGTTAGGCAACACAGAATCATGGTTGCAAGCGAAAATCCTTTGTTTTCATCATTGTTCATCTGCAAATATGTACACACATTTACAACACTCCTCAAGGAGTTCTTTTCCTCCTCATCTACTCAGATCCAAGATTCACCTATCTGGTTCTCCCGTCTTCTTCAACTGCTCACTATGAACACCGAACAGGTCTCGTCGATGTTGTGAGCTGGCCGTGTTTCGCCAACGTCTAATATGTCCTATGTGCAACCGTCGGAAAAGTTCGTGGAAGGTACAGCATACGCGGCTTAGCGCCTCTTGCGTCGCTCCTACTGGAGGAAGAAAGAAGAGTGACGAGGCAGCGACGCTATGCTCGTTCATGGGACGGAGCAAGAGACATGTTTTGACTCTCAAATCATAAACTCAAGTGGACGAACACAGAGATCTTGTACGATCCTGCTGTGCGTCATATTGGCAATATTTGCCTTACGGCTGTTCTTCACTTGCTTCCATCCACCGATAAGATCCCTGGATTGAGAATACGGGGAGTACTCACTGGCAAGGGACATGTGCTCGGAGGTTCACCTGGGCACGGATTGCTCCCAGATAAAGTACCGTGTCACAAGTACTGGTTTCTCCCATCTTTGTTGAGATGTGTAAATTATTAATAAAGCAATGAAAGATAAAGCCAGTTAATAAAAAATCACTTACGAGTACGAGTGATATTTCAGAGTATTTCAGAGTACGAGTGATAAGGCTTCGTGCTCTTATGGAGTTTACAGGATTGTTATCAATTATGCCAATATAGATGTCGTGTTTGCGATGTGGGCAATAGACATGGAGTTAGCGCATTGGTATGATTTGAAGTCTAGAGTTAAAGCAAATTTATGACCGAGTGATCGATGCAGATGTGGTGATTACCGATATTGCATGTTGACACGATATTTACCTATTTACGTGGTTAGGCGGTGAACGGAATATAATCACACATTCAGTGTGTCCGTCGTCCCGTAGAGGAGAATATGAAAATTCAGTTGTGAAGAATACAAGAGCGCAAACAAGGTTGGAGTGGCTCTAGAACCAGGCAGAGGTAGGGAGATGGAAGACATCCACTTGCACAAGAATGATTTCTGCTGCTCCAATTGGGGTTTCAACACTACCATATAACGCTGAAACTTAATGTGCTTCAAAGGGACTATTACAAAACACTGCAGACATGTGATGTGCTTCGGCTTGTGAGATTGGTATTCAAGTCTCGAGTTATAACATAAAACAAATTCTCTAAGTAGTTACGCTTACGCGCACAAAACGACAAATGTAACAAATATTACATGCACCGCACATTACGGTAAGCTCTCTGAACTGTTAAGCTCAGTGCAAGACTTTTACATTCTCACTAGAACTACTTCTACAACTTGATGTATGTGATAGAGTCCTTCGATGATAAGAGATCCCTGGCGTAGAATATGGTTTTTTAAGTCTTAAAAACTGGCGAGTGCGACGTCCTTCCTCTTCAAAGACTTTCAACGTCCATCCCAATGAACTCCCTTTGTGAATTATTTCATGACATTATGATTTCTACAAAAGTTGGAATCTTCTTTTTTTTATTATCATTCGATCGATTAAAAATACATATACTAAAAGAATGAACTTCATTACATTCATGTTAACAGAGTGAAATCACAGGTGCCCTTAAGTTCTAATATCTTGTAAATACAATGAAATCTCATGAATGAATATTTTGAATTATTTTTTCGAACCAAGGCCATGCTGCCATTGGGTATAATTACTTGTCAAACATCTCATAGTAGGTTCGTCACACTTCAGGTGTTCTACAGAGCACATGGAGAAGAATTTTAGCTGCTATGGCGGAGTTGAGTTCTACCCGGTCCGCAGGGGTAGACCTTCTCTCGCCCGATTTATTGTCCTTTCCAAAGTTGTTTTGTTCTGGCTTCCTTCAGCCACATTTCACTTCTTTCTTTGCTTTCGGGCACTTGTGCCTCAAAAGTGTAAAGAGCTCGCTCTTCTGCGTTCATTCTACACTTTGCTGCACTTTGACCCTTTCTTCACGGTATTTTGATCTTCCGTCTTCCAATATCATCATCACTTTCCCCGGAAAGGACCAGCGTAGTCATGTTAGGTGAGGATGCCCAATTTACTCAGAGTAAATTGGGCATCCTTACCTAGCATGAGTACGTTATCTGCCAGCATCCAGTATTGCACTGAGTCCGACTCATAAAAAAAGAGAAAGAAATTCCTCCCACACCGATTGTTTAGTGCTTTTGATATTCCGTATACATTATTTACATATATCACCCAAGATCAGGCGTTTGACCTAATGAGCAACCATCACTTTTCGTCGGGCATACAGGTTTAAAGAAAGCTTCAGATGACACCAAGAATCACGATTATGGAGATTATGTCAATTTATAATACATGTGTCATAGAATATGTTCTTTGCTCAGTCGATATTATGACCGAAGTTTTCAGTCGAATTAATAACACATTTCAACCTCATAAGACGACAGAAGTACAGCGCAGTTATCAAAACTAGAGCGTGTTTTTTGTGCGTTGTCATAATGCAATATATGTTTCACTTTAGGAGGTTTCCTAAACACCCAGAATCAGTGAGCAAGAAAGTTACACTTGTCGTCACGCTGTAAATATATGAAGAAGTAGAATGTAACATGGTTCGAAATTAGTTTCTTATACTACTTCTCATTCTTTGACAAATTCTTTGTGGACATATCAACAGGTATGGATGTGACTGGATATAGCACGTCCACTATGCATCTTGCGGAATGATTCGGTGTTTTAGATGAAACATGATTAAAAATTTCATATATATCTGCGTATCAAAGGTGAATCAAGGGTATAGATTGTAGTATGGTGTGAAAAATAGCAGTGGGATTTAGAAATCTTAGTACATTTTGTACCCAATCAAATTGCTCAATAATACTAACGTTTCATCACAACTCATGGATTGCCCAATCATATTTAATATTTTACAACGTACAATCACAAGCAACAGATTAATCACATTAAGATCACGGTCAAATTTGAGTGAGGTAGTGAAGTATAAAAAAATCCGTAAACGTAATATAACTAAAAAGATGTATCTTGCTGAAATATTTTGAATAAGATTGATATGTTAATTAGCAAACGTGTGCGCTAATCCATACATGATCGACATGGTTACTATCCATAACCAATTTACGGATTTTAGAATCAGGGATTCAGAAATGTTCAAATCTGCCTGCATTTCTTACTCGAGTGTTTTGCATCCCCAAAGTTTTGTTGTTGTTGGGTATAATTAAAGTCATAGTCTTGACAATTGTGTTGACAACAGTCTTAGATCGCTGAGTCAGAGTTGAAGTAGTCATCGTATTGAACTCACATACAGAGTTGACTGTATTTGTTACTATACTCTGTTTTGCTCGACAAGGTTGGAGTGGAACGTGCAGTAATCAAATTCGCGTTAGCCTTCTTCAACATAAGGCTAACGCGAATTTGATTACTTTCGGTGTCTCCAAGTTCTGAATAAACAAGAGAATATATAAAATATAAAATTATATTTCTTTGGGTTCTAGATGAAATAAAGTTCAGATATAAATAGTCCAGAGATACTGTTTTTCCGTGGTCAGAGTTGAAAAGAAAGAGATGATAACACTGAATCTCAAAAGGTCATGTTGGCAACGACTTGTGTTATTTATTGGGTTTCGGCAATCCAGTACGGAAGTTAAAGTTTCACAAAATTGGAAATGCTTAGCCTGTAAAAAAGTGGATGTCTAGAAAGTCAGGTGATGACTAGATTGTGATATGTAACAAATAAAAAAATGAGAACATAGAACTACCAGAGGGAATTTTAATATGAATTTTTTCACGGTTGAGACTGTACACTGAAGATTCTCCGTTTCGATTTACAATTATCGTTATTCGATTTTCATGTTTGATGATTATTAGAAAAAGTTCACATGCCCCTTCCTTCATGAACTGCATTCTAATGCTGGAGAGAAAATAATACTTCCCAATTGTAGTCCCTCTGTGTGGCGATCAACGACGTATCTTCACAGTCAAAAGTGCGATTGTTTGTGAAGAATACTTGTCAACAACGTCTTCTTTTCAAACAATGCCAGTCAAACTCAACATGCATCCAATTTATTCGCCCATGCATCACTTGGAGGGTTATTGCACAAAATGTCATGATCCAGTGCCGTTTGATATGATGACTGAAAGGCTTCATCTCGATCAAATCGACAGATCTTTCGAAGACATCAAAAGAAAATGAACGTGTAAATGTGGAGCCTTATCCTATCCTTGCTCTTCGTGAGCTGAAACGTTCGAGTCGACGGGAGTATCAAAGTAAAGAAGGGGAGTGATCTAGAAGATTTGATTTACAGTTTATCGTCTTCATTTGATTTCATGGACCGACGAGATTATAAATCGTGCTTCTCCTCGATGCAAAATAATGAACGGGTAAGAGTGCAATCGGACGGGAAAGGACCAGGGCCGGGACGGCCACTTGTCGTCAGGTGACCGGAAGGAGACCGAGAGCCGCATTATGAAGGCCAATGTAAATGGGGATGCAAACGTGACACATGTCGCTCGTCGCAGCCCGTGGAAGAAGGGCGAAGAATTCCAGCATGTTATACTAACGGTGAAGCAACCGGAAGGATATATATATATATATATAGACGCCGGCCAATCAATGCACGCGAAACGCTGGCCGGTTATAGCAATCAGGCAGGAGGGTGGACGCACAGAACGGAAAGCGGGATGCGCCAGCTGGAAGGGTGGACGGAAAGAGGGACGAGGAAAGGCAGGAATAAAGAAGGCCCCGCGAGGCAGGGACGGACCCCGTCCGTCAATGGATGTGTCTGCTCCTGTCGTCGTGCCGTCCGTTCGTTCTTGCGGGTGGTGGCAGGCCCCGCTGGCGCCTCGCTCCACGACTCCGGACAGAAAGCCTGCCGCGATCTGGTCCGGTCCACGGAGCGGCGGTCCGCCGTGCGGTTCCTGGCGGTCGTCCGCTGCGTGCCGAAGGGAAACGGAAGCGGCAAGCGGCAGCTATTGCTCGGTCGCGGAGCGCTGCTGTGCTCGGCCTGCGAGTGGGAGTGGGGAAGCGGAAGCGGAAAAGGAGCGCCTGGTTCGTCGTGGTTCGAGGAGGGCGAGGCTCATGGCCATGTGCTAATGGAAGCGGTGTAATAATGTTGTTGTTGTTGTTGCAGTGGGAGGTGGCAGGGAGCTTTGTCTAGGCGCTCGGTGGATCCCTTGTTCGTTCGACTCGCGCTCTCGCTCGCATTCGCTCGCTCGCTCGCGTAGGCGCCTGGCGAGCTGGCTGGCTGGCTGGTTGGCTGGCTGGGCTGGGGTCGGCAGGCCAGACGGGGCGGGGCTGGGCGGGGCTGGGATCGCGGTTCAGACTTGCGCTTGTTGTGAGCGTCGGGTGTTCTTTTCTTCGACATCATCGAGGACTTCTGCTGCTGAGCAGGCAGGCGGCAGCAGCAGCACCAGTGAGGGAGGAGCTTCTTTGCTCGCTTCACCTATGCCGGTGCTTTAAGCAGATTTCGTTGGCCTTTCTTGTCGCTCGCCCCATTCCAGGACTCGCGGGGAGGAGCAGAGGTTTCTAAACCATGGATCTCAAGAAGGTCCTGGATCAGACCGTCCGAGAACTGTAAGATCACAGATCTAGCTTGGTTTGGTTGGTGGGTTGGTCGCTTTGGGCTTTGTGTCGATTGGGGTACAGATCGGAGCTTTTCGGCTGTCTTTGCGGTTATCGGGCTGTAGGAAATCTGAAATTGGTGCCAAGGCAGGGTAGCTAGTTGCTGCAATGGCTTCGGTACTTGGAGGTGCAGTGCGGATGTCTTGGAGCCTGGATGCGAACCTGTTTCTTGGCTCGGAAACGCGCAGCCTACAGTATCGGGTTTGTCTAATGTCTTTTGGATGTTTCTGTGTCCCGGCGTGTGATTACCAGGAAAAGAGAGGTGAACAAGAAAGTTTTGAAGGTTCCTGAAATCGAACAAAAAGTGAGGACTCCTCTTCCCTTCGCCGTCGAAAGATGTTCGTATGTCGATCTAGGTTCAGTATCATCAGGCATTTCGTCCGTCGCCTGGATCGTGTGTTGTCGGATATTTGTCACTCTGAGGAATAATGTAGAGGAGCTGCATTGGTAGGTTGTTCATCACGGAGGTGTCATTTCAAACGTCAGGTTGTGCGTTGATGAGGATGACATTACGTAGATGAGAGGTCGTCGACTGCAGATTGTTCAGCGGATCACGTCCAAACGCTCTCTAGTTGTCAGATGAGCTGAATCTTTGTCAATCTCTGGAAGAACACCGGTCTCAAACGCGTCTGTTTGTCTTCAGGTCTATGAAGCAACCAGTAATGAGCCTTGGGGTCCTCATGGAACTCTCATGGGAGATATCGCCCAAGCTACCCGTAATTAGTGAGTTCTACCTTGACTTCGTTACTGATTTAAGAATTTCGCATATCGGACTGCCGAACTTCCGCTCATCAATCAATGAGTTACTCTCTTCTAACTAGTTGGTTCGTATCCTTGACAGCAACGAGTATCAGATGATTATGGCTATACTATGGAAGCGATTGAACGACACGGGGAAAAACTGGCGTCATGTTTACAAGGTAATTACTCTATGGACTACGTAACGTCGTCGATGGGATGCATCGATGGGTTGTGATTGTGAAGAGTAAGAAATGCTAGACTTTTGGTTAGAAGCGTCGTATGTGGTCCAGACCTACGTTCATGAGTTTGCAGATTGCTACATATCCAATTTCCCTCGTCTACCATTAAGCTCCTTCTGTAGTTTTGGAACTTTAGCTCAACATTGAGTTCTTTTTTTATCTTCGGGCCATTTATGCACCTTGCCGTTCCAAGTATAGTGACCTCCGTATTAGCAAGCTGAAGTAACCAAGGGTCCTGCGTCTCTTATTCTCGGCTTTCTGATATCTGGCTCAATGGGCAGGCTTTGACTGTGTTGGAATTTCTGGTTGCCAATGGAGCTGAGCGAATCATAGATGAACTCCGAGAACATGCCTATCAAGTTCAGGTAAGCTGGACAAGAGTACCATCTAAAAGAGCTATTGAGAGCACGTCCATTCACCTTTGGGCAGGGATTCGGTGTTTCAGTTCGCGATCATTCGACTCAATTCTCATTTCTAACAGGACGCAAATGCTTTTGTGTTAGACCTTGGTGGACTTTCAATATCTGGAGGCTGGGGGAAAGGATCAGGGTATTAATGTCAGGAAGAAAGCCCAAACTCTCGTGGGCCTATTAAACGACAAGGAAAAAATACGCGAAGTGCGAAACAAAGCAGCCTCCAACAGAGACAAGTGCGTTTTCTAGCCCCATGTGTATGTGTTAATTTGTACAGTGTGCTGATCGCCGTTTCTTAGCAGTACATTCATTCCTTCTTCTTACACTCCTTTTCGAGTCGTGTTTGCTCCAGGTATCGAGGTTCGGGTACAGTGTTCCGATCCAAGTCTAGCAAGTATTCCAGTACGGATGGAGGCTACGGTGATCGAGAAGATGAGGATCGTTATGGCGCGAGCAGTCGATCTGGTGGAAGAGATGAAGATGGTAGGTATGCAGGAAACAGGGATAGGGAAAGGGACAGAGATGATCGATACAGGGATGACGATCGGTCCGGAAAAGATACTAATGGGGACCGTTACAGAGACGACAAGTATGGTGGTGATCGAGATCGAACTGAGGATGACAGAAGTTACGGAGGCAAAGGTGGAGATCGAGGTTATAACGACAGGTATGGGGATGAAGGTTCTGCCTCAGGTTATGATAAAGATCGCGAGAGGAACTACGAAGAAGAAGATCGCTATCCTGCCAGGTACAAATCTTACTCGTAGGTTGCTTGTACTAACTCCCAGAGACGAGGGACCTGGAAGCTGGAGTGAGTCGTTAACAGCATTGACGACACAATGCTGTCACGGTTTGTCTTGTCTGGAGGAAGTGAAAGTAGTGGATTAATGGGCCCGTGCAATATGATATGGCAGGGGTGGAGGAGGCAACAGAGCCGATCGGGGTGATCCACCAGAATACCCGGGCGAAGAGCGGTATTTTACTCCGCGCTTATCTCTCTAAGAAGCTATTAGTTTATCGATCCTTCTGCACAGCAAGATATCTCTAGGTTTCATTTCTGTTATCACAGTGCATGAGGTTGGCCCGTGGAGTGAGCTATGCGCTTAGGGTGCCCGTCTTTCATCCTAACGTTCTTCTCATGTTCTTGTCTCGTGTTCTTCAAGTGAGATAGCAGTGTGCACTTATTTTTGACCGTTGTGACCATTCTGTGTTTTCTGTAGGGACGCTAGTGGCCTCGCCGCAGCAGTAGCTAGAGCTCAAACTAGTCAGACACAGGTGAGTCAGCCTCAAGCGTCAGCCACTGCTAGTCAAAATGGTGAGCGCAAGTTACAAGCCGCAGGTTCTTCTGGAGGTTCTTACTTTGCAACCAAGCAAGATGAAGAGGAGTTCGATGACTTTGATCCGCGAGGGGCCTTCAGCGCTACAGGTATACCTGGACTTTTTATTCTATGTTTGAACTTCATGCAGAGCCTGACTTTCTGATCACCAAATTTATATTTCCTGGCACACACTTTCTTGAGGGGTTTCTGCGATCTGATGGCTGGCTAGGAGGTGTCTTGAAGTTGCATGTTGCTCACTATAGGTCTTAAGCTAGTCAGGTCTCCCCTCACACCTTTGCAAATAGTGTGTATATTCTGGGTTCTCGTATCTTTGACTGCCGTTATTGTTAGTACGGTACTGTGTATGCAGACGTGATGAGATTTGAAACTCGGTTGATCAGAATCTAAGTTGTGAAGGAATTTGACTCCCGGTCCAGGTTCTGCCCGGCAAGATGAGGATCCTTTCGGCAGTTCGGCTCCTGCTCCTCCTCCAGCAGCGGCACCTGTGATCCCTCCTCCTACTGCAGCAAAAAGTACGAGTGGCATAGAGGATCTTTTTGGAGACAACTCGTTTCTCGCAGCTCCCACTGGCTCTTCATTCCAGGTAGTTTTTAAGTTTGAAAAGCAATGTTTTCCAACGTTGGTTTGACCCCACCAGACAGGGAGCTTATGACTGGAGAACCAGTTCCTGCCCATTCTGTGATGAGGTCGATGGTTTTAGGTTTATTCTAGTGGGTAACTGGTGACTGTTGTTTTGTGAGGAGCACATTTAAGTAGGGATTTGCCTTCTGCTCCTTTTCTGCACCTTTTCCATATTGTTTCAACTGAGGTATCTCTTAGAATTTTGAGTTCTTCAAGTACGTTAGAAGCTACAAATGCGGTTAACATGTGTACTGCGACCTGCATATCATCTTGCATTCACCTTTTTATCAGCATTTTTACATTTTACATTGCAAATTGCGTGCAGTTTTTCCTCTTCCATTTTAGAGGAGATACACATGGCCTAGAAGCTATTGATGCGATCTGTCCTTGGTTTTGGCAGGGCAATGGTGTCACTGTACGGCAGGATGATCCTTTTGGAGAACCAGCATTTTCTGTGGATCAACCATCTACAGCGGCCTTCGGTGCTCAGCCGACATCTTTATTTCCTTCTGCTGGTGGAGCAGCCAATGTTGTGAGTAACGATGGTTTTCAGGCGTTTCCACCTGCACCTTCGAACGAGGGCGCCGCAGGCAATGCTACTTTTGGAGCTAGTTTCTCGGCAGCACCTCCTGTGAAGCCCCCGGCTCTGACTCCTCCTCCCAGTTACCAACAATCTCCTATATTACAGCAACAGACGCCCAGTTACCAGCCACAGGCTCCCAACTATCAACAGCAGGCTCCCAACTATCAACAACAGGCTCCCAACTATCAACAACAGGCTCCCAGCTATCAACAACATGGCCACACCCAGTCTGCTCCAAATTCATTCCAGCCTCCTCCACCAGGTCCTTACCAGCCTCAGACCTTTTCACACCCATCTGGAAATAATCAACAAATGCTCTATGGACAGCCACAGTCTTCCGTAGGTGCGAACCCTCCTCTCGGTGCAAAGTCTATGAGCATGGGTGGAAATAACGCTGCTGTCAACCCTGGAGCTATTGTACCAGTACAGGCGCCAGTAAGCAAACCTCAGCCTAAAGAGTTCAAACCAAAGTCTGCTATTTGGAGTGATACTCTTAGTTCTGGTATTGTGGACCTTAACATCTCAGGTCCAAAGACAAATCCTTTGGCTGAGCTTGGAATCGACTTGAAGGATTCAATTTTTTCTGTCATGGAAAAGAGGAAGGAGGAGAAGGCTGCACCAACAAACATGGGTAGGGCAATGGGTTCCGGAACAGGTCTTGGGTTAAAAGCTGCTAGCGGGATTGCGGCTCCACCTCCTCCGAGTATGATGGGTGGTGGCATGGGCATGGGCATGGCTCCTGGTATGCAAATGGGAGGCATGGGCATGGGAGCGGCTGGAGGTATGCGGCAGCCTGGCATGGGCATGGGCATGGGCATGAATCCAGGCATGGGCATGCAGCCAGGCATGGGGATGAATCCAGGCATGGGTATGAATCCAGGCATGGGCATGAATCCTGGTATGGGTATGAACCCTGGTATGGGCATGAATCCTGGTATGGGTATGAACCCTGGTATGGGAATGAATCCTGGTATGGGAATGAATCCTGCGATGGGGATGAACCCTGGTATGGGTATGAACATGGGCATGAATATGGGTTCAGGGATGGGCATGGGAATGGGTGGTTATCCCAACTCCCAATACAGCGGGTATAGGTAGTAGGATTAGTCCATGGAGTTGATGCTTAAGTGTTACCCAAGAGAAATTCTTTCACCTTTCCAAAAGTGAGTTGATTCTAGAGAGCTACCAATAGACCTGTAGTGATATTTAGTATTAGAGATTATTTCTCTGGACATCGAAAGTGATAATTTCGGGTCGTATATTCATTTATCTGATCTGATTTGATTGTATTCTGTTAAGCCTGTAAATGGTTATTTTGACAATGACAGCAGATGCTGTCATATTGAGTAGTTTAGTTTCAAGTCAGACTCCATATTCGAGCCTCAAAGAAGTTTCTAGAGGTATTTGGCAGATTCGCACTTACTGTTCGGAGCATATATGCAGTCATTCTACCTATTCATTTGTTGAACCCGATGACTGTCAACATTATTTTGATCTACCATCTGTTCTAACAGACTTGTTACCGCGTTCATGTACTGTCGACACATCAGACTATTTTGTGGACCATTTCATAATCCATGAGTTTTTTGGCATCTTAGAGCTCAATTTTAATGTTCAAATATGGACCTTTTGGCTGGACCGTTTTCACTTCCAGGATATTTGTGCACTGAACGTTTCTGGACTTCATGAGCAGGTAAATCAAGCTGACGGATATGAGAATTCAGTTGGGTGACTCCTGAGCTAAGCCAGTGCTTTTGACCTTGCAAGCAAATATATTGACTCATTAAAGGTACTCTTCTTCTCATAGAAAATATTCCGGTCATATTCTTTGACTACTGTTTGTTAGTAACCCTCGATCCGACTGTGGACAAGTATTGCCATTCCGAAGTTGTTGACTCTCGGAGCATTTTTTCTGAACTGTAGCGAGGATCACGAAATTTTAGGGCTTGTATTCTGCTTGAAGAGCAACAACTTGTTGAAACAAGTAATGAAGCGTTTGCTGTATACAAGGGAAAGTACTCATTAAGGACAGGTAGTTCGAAAAGTCTTCAATTGCTCTGATTCCCAGCTGTCTTTTAGTTCAGAGTTGAAATTGAACACTGCAGGCTCTGTAAGTCGAACGAGACATAAGTTATCCCCCATTATCCAGGCGTTTTCGTTTGCATCGTTTTTCTCACTTTATCCTCGCACTCGAAAATTGATGCTACAAGGTAGTGGTCGGTTGATCTGAACGTCAGTGTCTAAGAGATTCAAGAATACCTTGATGACTCATTTGTCTATTTGACACAAAATTTGATAATCGTTTGGCAGTATTGTACAATCATAATTTCAACTACGAACAGTTGTGACTCCTTTTAGGATTGAACTATCGAAGTGCAAGTACTATAATCAGAATCTGAGAACCGAAGCAGTCACAAAACATGTGGCCTGCTCCAGTGGGCCACATCCTGGATGTCTCCGGCTAGGCATCCCTTGTACGATGTGGGTCCATAGTGATCATGATCTGAACATAAACCCTGAGTGTAGTACTCACAGTCTAACAAACTTGAGAGAATGCAATATTACAGTGTCTTAGTCCAGCACAGTCGAAATCGAGCAGTGTGGAAGGTGAAGTCAAAGTACATTGGAAAGCGTAGTGATTGTGTTAATAGTTCAGATATCAATCGGTGGATGTCAACCTTGATAACGTCTTCACGGTATGACAGCCATTAGATTCTGTCAACATAATGTGGAGATTTGTGTAGCATTGGAAGGGGCATGTGAGGTTTGTATCCTACACTGACCTTCTTTATGTCAACGTGCTCCGTGCCGTCCCCGCCTAAGACTATTCTTGAATATCGGCCTTGTAACCATAACAGAATTGTGTATTCAAGTTTTATGAGAATTTTTTTCTTTACTACATCAACACTTTTGGTAACTTGGGAGTTAATGGGCTAAAACTTTACACACATATTGCTTCATGAATTGAATCTGGTATTTATGTTTTGGATCATAGAGTTTAAGTCTATCTCAACGTTCACGAGCAGATGATGATCAGTTAGTCGAGTTATTGAGCGACACATATTGCACCATGGACTAAATCTGATAATTACGTTTTGCATCATAGTTTAACCTCAACCTGTGCAAGCAGATGCTGATTTGTTAGTAGAGCTATTGACTGATAGCTATGTCCCAAAGTCTATCTTCGCAGACGAAGCTCAAGCTTAAGAGTACTAGACCAAGCCGAAATGTACTTATTGTTGCTTGACGTATGTGAAGTTCTTTGTCCATTATTTTCATTCAAACCCCAAACTGTCAGAAAGCTACTGGTTACGAATTTTTTTTATGGGAGAGTGATTATCTAATTGATGTAACACTAGTTGACAAGGAAGGAATTTTAGTGAATATTTTCCTGGACCCCGACGATAAAATCGTACGCATATGGGACAATTATTGGCGTTCAAGCTAAGTATTCTGCTGCGTGAACGACAATGGCCTACAAGTTTGAATCTTTATCATTATTTCTAAAGATGCGGTCATAACTTCGAGAATTCAAAACTTTTATTATTATATAACTATTATGATACAAAAACTTTACGTTACAAACATAAGTTATGGCCATGAATTTTTCAAAACCATGAAAAATTTGTGTAATCAAACTATACCATGGTTTATTAGAATATATATTCGTAAACATTTGTCAAAAATCAACATTTATTTGTGTACTCAGAATCTTACATATAATGTATTTTTCATTGAGTACATATTTCCATGAGATCATCATGAATAAGTTTTCTAATATTCTGAATAGACTAAATTTTCAGCATGTTTTTACTTTTTTATAACAGCATAATTATGAAATTTTCGTTATCTTAAAACTATAGAATGTAACATTAAAATTAATAATATTTCTCGTTAGCCTTGATTTTGGCACAACGAAATACAATTATCGTCAATTTTATCATTTCTTTATGGTGTAAAGTTTGCTGCTACAATAATGAGTGGATATTACATTATCGGTTTACAAACTAAATAATGAACTAAATTTGGAAATAATTACTGAATCATCTCAATTCAATATAAAAAAAACATGAATATTTTTTAAAAAGTATACATGTGTAATATATATCTACATAATTTAATTTTTATTTTCTTATATATAAAACTATTTAGATTCTATAGATAGTTAAAATTAGAAATAGTATGAGCTATTGGTCTCTATAAAACGTTCTCTAATTTTGATTTATTTTCAATTTCTCAATGACGATTATAGTGTTATGAAGTGTGTAGCTTTCCAAGTTATATGGGATAAATATCACATAAAGATACAATCTACTAATTTCATGTAAGAAGATACTGAAATAATATTATAAATTTTTTTAAGAAAATATATTATATTTGATGTTTAACGATATATTGTTTATTATTATGCTATGGTCAAAAAATGTACGATAAAATGCATTGAAATATATCAAACATATCCTCCATCTCAAAAAAAAAAGAAAAAAAAAAGAAAGATTCTATCTTAAATTTAATGCCTTATTGGAAAAGTTGTACATAAAATTTGATATACCTTAGTTTTTATTTCTAATGAATCTAGATTGAACATATTGATAAGATTGTAACTTTCAGTATAAATTCATATTTGATTTGAAAAACTGAATCATTTTCATGTTTTAATTACTTGCGTGAGAACTTTTTTGCATTTACTCATTTGAAAATTATTTCATATTTGTCACGGTAAAACCTGAGAATCATCGACCCATCACAAGAGACACATGAAAAGTGGTTCACCCTCGGGGGAAGAGGGCTACGTCCACTAAGAACACAAGCACCTTTACTCCACGTCTTGTCAGAAAAGACTCTATGTACAAGGCAGAAGCTAGGGTATTTAACCCACAGTCCAGGCGACGTCTCAGCTATAAATACCTAGGCCTAGAGGTTACTCCTTAACCGAAGTTAACCTCAACAATATTTTTGAATTATTAATTATTGGTATTTAAATTTTCAAAATTGAATGCGAATATCACATAAGTAACCATATATTCTATAAATTACTTATCATAAGAATAAGGATGTATAAAAACTGAAAACTAATGAAATGTTTTTACTGAATTCATATTTGGTATAATTTATTTTTTTTGCTATCGTAAAAAATCTAAGATAGAATACAGTAAAATACATCAAACATGCCATGGATCAAAAAAATAAAATACAGGGTATTTTGAATATTTCAAAATGAAAATAGATAGCTTATGAAGATTTTTATTAAGAACAATGTGTTTCAAAATCAAGTATGATATGCAAGTCTAGGTTTGAATGTGAGTATTTTCAAATAATTTATATTGACAATTAATATATTTAATTATTATGAAAATTTTAAAGCTCAATTCAATAAAAAATTGTGTTTAGATTTGAGTGAAAAGTGTACGTTTGACCCGTGTCTTGTTAATCTAGTTAGAGTTAATGCTAGTTTACTTTGGGTATTTATTCATATATATGTTTCAAATTTAAGTTTCAAATTTACACCTCATAGAGAGATAGTCAAGAGCTTGACTATGGAGTCTTGATGTAATATTCTTGCTTTAGTTAAGCTTATATAGCAGGTGTGGACGTATCCTCATGTGGAGATGAATCACATGCATCGGCATGTAATTCTTGTTGCGTTTAACTATAATTGGTAGTAGAGCATACATGCCTAATGTGATATTCTCACTTTAGTGAAATTCTATCTAGACCGTGGACGTAGCCTAATGTGGAGGTGAAGCACATGCATCAATGTATGATTCTTGTTATGTTGAACCTACAATTGGTATCACAGTGCACAGTTTGCTCGTCCACCAAGTTTGCGTCTATGGACGTAGTATGTCGTCATCCCTGTGTTGTGTCGTGCCATGCTTTCTTTTTTAGGTTGTGCAGACGTTGGACAAAGTTTTGTACTTGTGACGCATCACTCATCCATGATGGTGTGAAAATTGATTCGCGTGCAAAGCAATGGTGATGGTTTAGGGCATGAGTGTATTTGTACTTCTTGGATGCTAGTGGATTTGATTGAACTCGGATTATCAATAGCGCTGCCGCTACACACTCATGACACTATTTGTTTTAGGAGCGGCATACATGCTCGTCCGTTGCTTCTATCTTCTAGTTAACTCAGTTGTGGAGTGGTCATACTGTGCATTATTGTTTGATTCTTCAAACACTTGTGACACATGTCGAACACAAGTGCTCAACGTATGTCACATGTGTTTGTTTGGGAGAAGTAA